GAAGTCTACTTCAAAGGGCTTTCTGATCTATTTTTCACAATAGCACTCTGTTCTGTACTGAAATGAATGTGTAGAGATTAGCATATGACCAAAGCAGCAATTTCCTCCCACCATGAGCACAAAAAATCCCATTGCATCGGCCAGTGACTGGCTAAGCTGCTCCTCTGCAGTGCCATGGCAGCAGCACAGCAGCAGGATGTGCAGCCCAGGGTTGTGGCACAGCCAGCAGCACCCCTGCATTGAAGGTCCTGTGGGACCTGTCCCCAGAAAGCAGTGGAAATGCACTGTCTGCTGCAGGATAGCTACTGAAAGGGTGGCAGGGGGTGTCACTGGGATTTCATCTCCATTCCTCCTGAATCCTGAGGAAATTTTGGGTACACCATGAGGATAGTTTTTGCTAAAAGCAGCCAAATTCTAATGTCTGCTCCCCAGGGAAATAAACACCATTAGTGGTGCCACGGAGAGCTGCAACTACAATGAGAACTGCAGGACTCTGCATCAGAGAACTGCATCAGAATGCAGAAATGCATCAGAAAATTGATCAAATTTATCTAAAAAAGACCCAAGCTTTTAGGTTGGCTGTGGGAAACAACAGCACTGGCATCCCAAAACATCACCCCCCGCCACTCATCCCCACGAAACAGTGCCATTGTTCTTGGTTATAATTTTCACCACTCTGCAAGCAGAAAGCCCTGAGGATTCTGCAGCACATTAAAATTGTCAGAGAAAAATCCTGCACCACTACGCACAGTTTCTCCAGCGGGCAGCTTGTGCAACCTGACGGCAGCAGAGAAGCTCCAGGACTGCTGTTGCAGGGATGCCTCCAACAGCAGGGAAACAGTGCTGAGGATGCCCACTCCTCCTGGCTGGTGGAGCACTGGAACAGAAAACCCGGCAGACCAGAGGGTCTGAGGCTTGTTGCCAACTTATTCAGAAACAAAGGATGAATGGTTCTTCAACAGCATATCTTTAAAGGGAGTTTTCAACAGCATATCCTTAAAGGGAGTCTCCACTAGTCTCTTCAGATGTAGCAGGCTTGGGAGAAGCACCGGAAGGTATTAATATTTATGGAGAGAATTCTGGTGGGGAAAAAGTGGACTATGATATCAAACCTTTCTAATGAAGCATGAACTTGAGAGTTACTTTACTTACCTCCAGGGAAAAGACACCAAACTATTATTAGTTCAGTTAGAAGTCATGCTTCTGAAGGCTTTTTCAGCTTGCACAGAATAATGAAAAAATTGAATACTAATACTGCTTATTACTAATTACTAACTGTGGAGGAGCGTGCTAGGAGACAGCCCATGTCCTGTGCCCCTGCTGGGGACACTACCTGTGTCTCACATCTGCCCTGACCTTGTTGTGCTCTTGAGTGTTGCAGATCAGAGGCTCCAAACGGTGTAGCACCCCACTCCCATTTGGAACAAGATTTAAAGGTCTTTGAAATTTAGAGTGCACCAGCTGTCTGGCCTAAGTGAAGGGGCAATGATACTCCACAGAAACCCACAGGAGCACAGCAGGTTTCTCTCTGAGACAGCTGCACTTGACAGCACTGTGAGAGTCTTGGGGTGCATTTCAGCCTCAGGGCCCTGGCAGTTTTCAGGAATATCCACCCCTCTAATGACTGCAGAGCAGCTGGCACCACAGCCTGCATGCTGCACTGCGCACTGAGCACTGATCCGCAACCCCGGCTGTGCCACTACATGGGCAAGGAGCAGCTGTGCAGCCCGGAACACCAGTGTGTAACAGACACAGCTCACGGTGATGGCTTTTGGTTGTGACTTGTTGCTCCTCAATCTTCCCCAGGGCAGCAATGGCTGTGGTTGAGCCACTCCTTAAGTGAGGGCTTTTTTCTTGCTTTTTCCCTGCCCTCACATCACCAACCTGTTCACTTCTCAGTGTGAAGGCCTTTATGCCTACTGCATAGGAGAACTTCAGAGGACACAGCTGGAGGTTGTATCCCTGCTAAGAAATGTCAAAACGCTGAGCCAGATTACAATAATCTCTTATTCAAACATTTTTTTGTCCTTTTTCCCCCACACATTTTCTTAAAACATTTCCCCCTTCTCTCTCCTCACTTGTGTGTTTCCCTGGGTTTCATACTCCACTTGAAGGCAACTCCAGACAGATCACTTTTGATAGGTTTCAGTGAGATCTTGTCTTGGTTTAACCCCAGCCATCAAACAAGTTCTACAAGCTGCTTCTCCACAGATGGAGCTGGGAGGGAATCAAAAGGCTAGAAGCTGGAGAACTCATGAGCTGCAGTATAGATAGTTTAATATGGAAAGCAAAATCTGTGCACACAAGCAAAGCAAAACAAGGCATGAATTCATTGCTTGCCATGGGCAGGCAGGACTTCAGCCATCTCCAGGAGAGCAGGGCCCCATTGGATGTAATGGTGACTTGGAAAGACAAACTCCATCTCTCCAAATGTCCTCCCTTCTTCCTTCTTCCCCCAGTTTATATAGTGAGAATGATGCCACATGGTCTGGAATCTCCCTTTGCTCAGCTGGGGTCACCTGTCCTGGCTGTGTCTCCTCCCAGGCACCCCCAGTCCCCTCACCACCATGGCAGTAGGAGAAGCAGAAAAGGCCTCGGCTCTGTGTGAGCCCTGCTCAGCCATAACAAAAACATCTCTGTGTTGTCAGGCCTGTGCTCAGCACAAATCTAAAACCCCTGTGAAGACAATTAACTCTACCCTAGACAAAACCAGCACATGGTAAAATAATGAATTTAATTAAGGTTCTTAAGAGATTTGGTTATTAGTTTTCTGGAGTCTCGGAAGATTCCGAGGATTTTAAGCTAACTTTAACTGTCTCTGCCTAGCCCCATGCAATGATGGCTTACAGGCATTTGCTGCAAGCCAAGTCCAACATATGTACAAAGCATGCCTCTGTAGCTTGACTACTACATGCTGCAAAACCTCTATTTTATTTTCCAGACTTCTTCAGATAAACAAAAAAAAAAGTCTCTGCTATGTATTAGAAATGCTGATATTATAGGCATCTGAACTCAATGGATATTAGAGAAAGATGGTGGTAGAACTGTAACATGATTGATGAGTTTCTCATCTCAGTATTTGCTGTTCTTCCCAGCTCATCAGCACTAGTTAATTAACACTATCTGGAGTCCTATGTCTTCTCCCTCTTGCTTACTCTAAGGGCTGTTGACTCAGGTGTGATATCTCCTTCCCTAAGGGTTTGTTTATCTGAGACAGTCATCCCACATTTTTAGCCTTTAAAGCTGAGATTAACTCTGCATTGTATGGAACAATTTTTAGATTTTTATATATAAATCTTAACCACATAATCAGTTTTTACCACTAACTTGAAAGAACTCAAAATATTTGCTTTGCAAATTTCAACAAAGATACAGTTTTGTACCCAAGGAACTGAGACAAAAATCAAACTCAGTTCTCCTAATGTCCATATTCAAACTATGGGATGTCTTTGATGAAATGAGATTATTTTAGTTGGAGAGTATTTCTCCCTGCTCAGGTTTTGCTCCCAATTTTTCACTCCGATATCTGTTTGGGCTTCCTATCTCCCTTTATTACTTTTGCAGATTTCTCAACCAGTTTGACAGGAGAAAGCTAGAGATTTTCTTTATTCTACAGACTAAATTAAATTGAACTAAGTCTTTTATAACATCTTTGAACTTTTTTTCTATTTTTTTTTCCTGGAAAAACCTAAGCAAAATTAATCACAGCTGGAGAGAAATTGGACTGATCATTCCAGTAAACACTACGTGTGCTAGTAACTGTGACTTTCATTTTCCATATTGCAGAGAGATTAAGCAAACAAAGCTGCAGCTATTCAGACTATTTGTCTCATTAGGAAATAGAAGAGTCATTTGTTCATAAATACATTGAACTGCTACAGCAGCAGCTGTCTGCACTGAAATGGGGGATATATTTTGGTTTTGCTCTGAAACTTCTTTATTCTGATTCATTATTTCCATGCGCAGAGACTGACAAAGTAATATCAGAGGATATAGGAAGGAAGCCATGAGCTACTGCTGCCAGCTTCAGGCTTATGCATGGCTGTGGTACCTGATCTGCTTACTGAAAAGGTTTTAGTACTGTCAACAATAATTTGGAACTCCTTCTTCCTTATAATAATAGACATGATGTATGCAAGCCATTTTCTTATTAGGGCTGCTGGAAACATGCAAGGAGGAACCTGACAAGAGTGACAGACATCATCTAATTTATCCACTCACTGCAGCATCCTTCATCTACCCCATGCAGAACTTATCAGCATTTTCTGACACAAAAGTGTGAATGAAAAAGGAGTCCTAACAATTCATTCTCCGTGCAAACTAATCCCTAAACCCAAAGAAGGACCTAAGAGATTTAAAGAAAAAAAATGAACATAGATTTGTTTTTTTGATTAAACCATGAACTATTTTCAGTTAAGCAAAGAATCCCACAAAACATCACACTGATCCTGAAAGCCAGGCACCTAAAAGGTGCCTGGAAACCACTTTAAGATTTGGACTCACATTGAGATTGTATTTCTTCCTCAAATAAACACTATAATTTATGAATTTTATTTTTAAGACCAATTTCTTTTTATCATCCATTTGGAACAGAGATTGCGACAATGTTTAACTGTGGTACATTTTCTTTCTTATTGTTTGTTTGGTTTAGTTTGTTTCTTTGTGTACCCCAGCACATTGCTCCTCTAGACAATCTCTAGACATCTAGTTTCTTTAAAGCCATTGAAGCCAGTGGTAAAATTTTCTGAAAACCAAGACTGTATGCCTTTCTATTATAACTATATGTCACACCTTTGTGGATTAGGTTCCTTAAAAAATACCATATTTGATTGACTTTTCTGATTTGCTCATATTTATTTTGTATAATCTATGTGAAACACTATTCTGACAAAATATGGTAATTAAATTTTTCTGGCAATGTGTTTTCTCCTAAGCTGTCAAAACTATGGGATGCATGTAAAAAAAGTTAACTTTCAAAAAAAAAAATCAAATGCAGTAACTAGGCAGAATCAACACATGCTTTTATTTCCATTGCATATAAAATTTCATATGAAGGTATTGATGTACAGTACTAACCCATAGGCTGTAAGAGAGGCTAAGAAACCAGTGAAAGAATAGCCATGTGCAATGTTCACACAAGTTGCCACTCTCAAGACATCCCCAAAGAAAATACCGAATTAAAACAGTAACAATAAATTGTTCAGGATTTCTGTTGTTGTAGTGTCCCTTTTAGACCATATAAAACAAAAGCATTCAAATTCCTTTGGGCCAGGGCTGCTAAAATCTACAGTTTGTGTCAAAAAGGAGATTCTGTTTTTTCTTGTAAAAGAATCTCTCCTTTCATGAATAAGTCTCAAGTTACAAGGGCTGGGCATCACTGGAATGGAGAAGAGGTTTTTACCCCACTCTGGCAAATTCAATGATACCAGCTCTGAGTTATCTGGAGTAATGTGACAAGTCAAACAGCAAGAGTTGCTCAGTCCAACCTGCAAACCTAATAGTAGTGTTATTAAAACATCTAACAGTTTACTGCTCTTCTGGAGAGCTAGTGCACTATGCTACACACACCTGCACAAAGCTTTAGCTACACCTATATGAAATAAACTTTGGCTACTTGTAACACTAGTATTGGAAAGCATTTCCAAGACTGAAGTTGTATATCCTACTATGGATTCTGCTTATACAGTGATCATTTGTGCTACTAAAGAAGAGACATTACAGACAATTGTAAAAGTGTATGAGTTACACCCTCTTAATTCTGATCATTCAATTTCACAATCTGCATTAAAATCAAACGTTTATTAGAGATGCTTTCCAAAGCTGTTTCAGTGCATTTCAGCACTGAAATGCAGCATCAATTATTTATCATTTTTAGGAACAAAAAATGGCTGCAATAATCCCCAATTACAGGCTGTAAAAAGATATTCAGAGACAATACAATTACATTACCAGAAGTCTGCAAAAGCGTGAACTTCCAGGAGGGTCAAGAATGAAAATTTATTGTAGTATTACACATATTAGCTTGTAAGAGTATCCCCCATCAGTCAGCAACTAAAAATATGGTAGAAATGCCCAGCCCCAGCCCCAAGGCTACCTTACTTTCAAATGCAGCTAAACAAAAAAATATTGTTTAAAGTTAAGGCACAGCCCTGGGACCAAAGACCTGCAGCTTTTTAAATTGATATATCTTTATGTATTTTACACTTTTCTTGAATCTTCCATAAATGAGTTCTATGGTGACGCTGAATATATTACAGGAGAAGAAATGTACAAGGAATATGTATACACAATAGTCATTCTCTCACCAAGAGTTTCCAGATACAGCAACACCACCCTGACAAGGATGATGTTATAATAAGAACTGATAATTTACAATTAACATTACAGTATGTACATTACAATAAATACATGGTTGTAAACAGAGACAAACAAGACTGTATTACAGGTAAGGTCATTTGGTGAGAAAAAATGTATGGCACAAAGAATAAATAATGCATTTGAAAATAACTGTCAAAGCTTTCTATAAAATCCATTTCATTCAAGTTTTAAAATTTCTGAATGCTATTTGTTCTTTCTATATTCTTTCATTATCCTCTTTTAATGACACAAAACAATTTAAGAATTTAAATACAGCATTACTGAGTACAGCAACTTGCAAGCTAAAGTGTACTGTTATAAACAAGGTGATTTTTCTCTTTTCCTCCCACTCAATATCCACTCACTGCATTTTTTATGGCAAAAATATTCACAACACATAAAGCCACTTGTAAATTGTTTTGTTTTAAAGCAGTGTACAATGCTAAAACACACTTTGGCAAAAGAGGAAAAAAAAAGATTGTACAGTGCATTATATCCCCAACTCTAAGAAATGGTATCATTTTCTATGATTTGATTGTCCACATGTACATGTGTATATCTCACAATATGGTTTTATGTTTATTTACTTTCAATTAGTGCAGAAACAAAACCTCCCAGGTCCTACTGGTTATTCTGGAATTTATATTGCTTTTCCACTACTGAGGTTCTAGGCACTCTTGGGGGCTGAAAGGACTTTTAGATGGATCAGGTTAAGCAAGAAATAATGAAAAAAAAAAAAAAAGGAATTAAAAAAAAAGTCAAAACACACAAAAAAAAAAAAAATCCCATGAGTTATCTTCATTCTTTTGCTCCTTCTGCATCTTCTCTGCTAAGGCCCTGAACGGGCTAATGGCAAAGAAAATTATGACCTGGATATAGAAGAATGCAAAATTTATTTAAAAGTTGAAATATTAGCCAATTAGTTTAAAACAAGTTTTTATTCTAGCTCTCTGGTTATTTAAAAGTACCTGAATTCAAATCTGCAAAATTGCTACAAAAAGAAATCCAGAGGGAAAATAATGGCTGCTTCTATCACCTTTTGTTAAGAAATTATCTTGATATTGTCATTTTATCAGAATTTTGCAACATAGGAGTCTGTTAGCGTCCCTAGGAAACTATTTCCCATCTTCTACTCTCAAAACTACAATTCTAATGAAGAGTAAAGTAGAGGAAATAAAATCTCTTCTTCCATGTGAGCAAACATCAAGACTGAAAAATGACAAATATGAACTCCTACCTCCCTTTAGCTTTCCATGTTATAGAAGCTTTCAGTACCAATCAAACTGAAAGGTAGGATTCCCTTAGCACATACTGGATAAAGGATGAAAAGATCTAAGATTGAAATAATATGGAGAAAACTACAATTCTGTCGATACACTGCTCACTTATACTATAATATAAAAAGACAAGACTGGCCTGTCTCTTCTAGCAACAGACATGAAAAAATAACACTAATCATAATTTTTATGTAATACACCTCTCAGATTAGCAAATTAACTAGATAGCTACCCAGATTAAAAGTTACTGGGAGTCATAAACTGGAAATATTACACTAATGATTTTTTGCACCAGAACAAATATTTCATACATTGTATTAGTCTGTTCTGATTTAGCAGTCTACAGCTCCCAGACAAAAACTGTCTGAAAAACCATGTTTCAGAGGAAAAAAAAAAATTATTAGAATAGCAAAAGAGGTGTTTTTTTACTGATGACAATTCATTACTCTTTTTACAGGCTCTGGTCCTGTAAATCCTCATGTTAGTGGTCCCAGGTGGTATCATCTAGACCACTTCCTATAGTAAGACAGAGTTGGCAGGATCAGGCTACTATGAGGGCAAAAGGACTATATAAGTCCACTAACACATCTGGGAAAATCGTGATGAAAAAACAAATGAAAAAAAAGCTATTCTACTGAAAAAGTTTTATGTAACATAAATACTCATGGAACTCACTAATATATAAAATAATAGACATTTACTGATCAATATTACCATGACATTCTAAGGTGCCAAAAAAAACCCAAAAAGAAGAATTAAAGGAAAAACCCTACAAGTATTATCCAGTGTAGTACAGATTTGTACTGAAAACTTGTAAGTTACTCTTTGGAAAAAAATATAACCAGTGGCAGATGAAAATGGGTTTTTAAAAAAATGTAATACCTTTATATTTAATAAAAGTGAACCCTAAAAAAGATCTCTTGCACATATTATACAAAATGGAGAGGTTATGCAACCCACTGGGTCACATTCTTTTCAGTCATGTCTCAGAAAATTAGAAATTAGAAAATTATGTCATTTTCACAGCTTATCTTCATGTTGGTAACAGAATCCATTTGTGTCCCCTCATTCTCATGAATTTGTTTTCCAGTAGGAACCTCAATGTTTTTTCTGTTTCTTCTACAGATGAATTTTACCCAATGTCTTACAATACAATACAATGAATTCAAAAACTATCAAAGCACACCAACATTCGTTTGGCAGGTGGTACTCCTCTGAAAGCATTTGCTTTATTTAATGGAATCTGCCAAATACAGACCTTATTAAAATGTAATTTATGCATGTTTTCCCCCTGCTTTCTGACCGCATGGAGGTGAAAATTCTGTTAACAATATTCCTGAGTGCCAAACTGAATCATCAACTTCAGTTTTGATCAACAATCATTCTGGCAGATAACACCAAGTTCTGACTATGGTTGTAGCATGTGTTATATATTTTGGAAATCATTACCTACATTTAAAAAAAAGAAAATTAAAAATTCGTAACAAAACTGAACATGCCCCAGCCCCCCACCACCTCCCCCAGCAAAAGAAAAAAAAAAAAAAAAAAAAAAAAAAAAAAGAAAAGAGAGAAAGAGGAAAAGAAAGGGAGTGAGCAAGAGAGATAGAGACTGAGTTTTCATTGTTATGTGTCAGGAGAATGTTCTTCTACCATACAAGGCTCTGCTGTTTGGTTCTCGTCCTCTTCCACTTCTTCCCCTACTTGCTCATCAAGAGGAATTTCAGTGGATTCTGAATCCTGGGTGCAAAGAGTCTTGGAGTCACTGAAGCTGGTGTCTTCTTCTACTTGACTTCCACTGTCCTTTTCGGTGTCTGACTCACCGTCTTCTTCCAGTGTTAGTTCAAACTGGAATTTTTCAGTTTGACCCTGCTTTCCCTCTTCCTTTTCTTCAGGTGCAGGAGAGGGACTTCTAGGGATTGTGCTCTGGTACCATTCTCGATTGTCCTCCAGTGTATCTAAGATATCCTGGGCGTCCGGGTGAACGAGATCTGCCCACGTCTCCCACAAAGGATGAACAATGTAATCTATAAAACCCACCTGTTTCAAATAATGCAAGAATATGATTACTCACAGAGAAATTATTAAGTCATGCGAAGTATAAGAAATATAATGCTAGGAAGAGACACAAGATACATTACCCTTAGAAGTGGCTGAAAATATATACTAGTTTATATAACAGATAAGGTCTTTTACTTTTCGGAAGTCTAATCCAGGATATTGGATAACGGCATGGAAAGGATTTGTTTTCAAGTGAACTGCTCATTCCAAACTCCACTGCATCTAATGAGTTAAATACCCACTTTATATTTAATTATATTTTTAAAGAAAGCCTCAGTCACCTGTACAATAATCTCTTTTGGCATGTATGCTGCTTTTCAGGTCAGGACAGCAGTGGAATCCCTTCAGCAAACATACTGCCACATACTATGTTGTCACAGTAAAAGTCTCAATTTGCCTCACTTACTACTGAGGAGCTGAATTAATTAACTCAGAAGAAGAAAAGAAAAAAGTGCATTCAGAAATTGCTCAAAACATGACTATGTGCCATCCTTTTTTTCTAATAGGTTTAACTACCTTATAAAATAAATTACCTGTGATTTTTCTACAGATGCATTGTGCTTATCACACATGGGACTTATCTCCATTCCCCTCTCTCGTTCCCGATCTCCCTGACGGAAAAATTCCTCCATTATTCTGTCTGTCCATTGGCGGTAGAGATGGAGCGGCTTGGTAGGGTTGCTCAGATCTGCACAGTGCACCATATTCTGAAGAACCTAGAATACATTGAAGAAAAGTAGCTCTTTTTTTATTTACATTTCTGGTGACTGTAAAACAAAATCTTGAAAATACATGTAATGCAAAATTTATTCTAAACAGCCAAAACTTATGTGCTTGTGTGCTTTTCACACTTGCAGTAACAACCATTAATTACCTGGCTTCTGCTGCTTCTGCTGGTATTAATGTCACAAAATCCTTGTGAGAAAGAGAATCACTTTTTGATCATTTGAAGGGAAGGCCAAAGCCTCATTTAGTCCTGGACTACCCTAGTGTTTTGTTACGTCTCCCAGAGAGTCACTTAAACCATGTCACTTAGACCAGGGAGGAATCAGAGGGAAGCAGCAAATCATGGTGTGAAAGAGAGAACTCTAATCCATGCTGGAGAATGAGGAAGACAATGTTATTAAGTATGTAATACAAGTGAACATTTTCAGACACATTGCCTTACCTGAATCCTGTCTGAATAGTTATCAAGAAGCAGGACACCAGAACTGGTCACTTTTTTAGTTTCAACCATAGTTTTTAAATCAGCCAGTAGATTCATATGCTTAGACATATCTGTTGCAAGTACCTAGAAAAAAAAACAAACAAAAAATGAACACTATGTGAATTATTCTACTGGGGTTTTTTGAAAAATAATTGAACATATAAATCAACATTTTTGGAAGGAACCCATAGCTTCTATGTCTGAATACATGATACAAGTCAGAGTCCTGTATGTTCATAGTAGTAAGTTTTCATATTTTTTTTTAAGAATATGACAAAATCATTGTTCAGCACTGCTCAAAATGAACTGATCAGCCAAAATTAATTTTTAATTCAGTAGCAAATTTCTAACTGTAATGATAGAATGACATCATGTCAGTACAAAACCAGCCTAAAATAGAATGGTATGCCTTCCAGAAATGCACAGAAAGTGAGTGAAACACAAAAGAACCCACTATTTGTATTTCGGTAAGATATGACAAAACTTCAAAATTTCACTTCATTGTTTACAGGCCTGATGACATGTAATTTATCAAAAAATTCTTCTGTGCTTTATTATTCAATATCCTAGCACTGTGGAAGACAGAGTCTCAAAACTCACTATGTCAATGACCATTTTTCTCAATGATTGTCTCTGTTTTTTGGTCAAATTCTGGAAAATATCACAATTTTCTTCCTGCAGCAGCTTGAAACCCACAGCCAAGTGATGATTCTCCAATACTGATGAGTCATTGTACATCAGGGCGAGTTCAGAATCTGCAATAAAAATTGCAGGACAGAACGTTACTAAAGCCTGGGCTTCTATCAAATCCCTTAAGATCTTTTTCAAATTCATTACATGCATAACAAGATTTACTGATAAACTTTTACTAACTTTCAGCAGCCCTGAAAGTTACAGAACTATTGACTGGGTCAGTCAATAGTAAATAGCTATTTACTAGGTCAGGCCGAAGTTGAGCAAACAAAGAAAAGGCTTTGCAATGATGTTTGAACATGTGCCTGGAGTGACAAGTTAGGAAAAATATAAGAAAGGTAATTTTTAGAATAAATTATCATATCTCCATGAGGTAACCTAGAATATATTATATGCACAATATATGCATAAACATACCTCAACTAAAACACACTGATGTGTCTTCTTCTCATGCCTCTCTCTCTCACAACACCTAAAATTTTACTGTTAGTCAAGTTTCAGCTTCCTAGCAGTTTGACCTGGGAACACACAGCTGAGGCTTTTCTGCAGGTTGCTGTGGAGCACAAGCTACTTGGTTTTCAAATCATGTCTTTCTGCAGTTATCGAAGACGCTCAGATTCCTAATGAACTAGGCTTACAGTCATTAGTCCATGACAACTGAAGACTGGTAGGATGGTAACATGCTTCTGTCTTTGTCATGTAATTTCATGTGGTGTGAAACTGCAGGCAGTGGCCTTGCCTGCTGCCTTGTGTTGGGGCGTGGTCAGTCCCTGGTGCTGTCTGTAGTACTGTCCTCACCAGTGGAATTACTCTTACCTCAGTCATCCCATATGGCTGTGAGGATAACACTCACTTCCCAGCCATGCCTGTGCTAAGGCACACCTGTAAGGTCAGCTTAGCCCTGCTGAACAGACAGCTCCGTAAAATCAAAGCAGCCTGCACAGCTTTAGCTTTAACCCAGGAATGCTGCACAGGAAGCTTGCATATGCTTCAAGATACAGCTTGTAAATAAATCTATCGCAAAAAACTCAAATACTTTTTATGCAGTAATGCTTTTCCTGTGCTAGATTAACTTCTGTTTATTACAGCTGTTCTAGCCTAAGTCTAAACATACGTCAGTGTATTCCACACTTAGTCCTCTTTTCTTCTTTGACAGCAGCCGTGTTTTAAAATGCCTCTGGTTTAATGGGAGGTCCCTAAAAGCTTTGATCTTCAAATTTCATTAATCTCATTATTGATTCTCCTGATGTCTTCCTCTCCTGTCTTGAATAAATTGACCTGTTGAATCAGGAAAATCTTCCTCTGCCTTTCCTTATTCCAAGACAGCGAAACCACAAAAGCAGAAGCAGAAAGAAAGCAAGTTTGTAAAATTATCTCTCTTTCGTCTTTTCACAGAACACATACAAAGCTTGCATACTTGATTTTCTTATGCAGAAAACAGGCACTAGTTTATTTTCCTTTCAAGCAGCCTTCTGATTTGCTGCAACTGCAAAACACTCCACATTGCCAAAATATTTTGGAAGAGCTGGAGCTACAAACATAGCTAAAATGCACTCAACTTCAAAATGGATGTAAAAATGGAAGAAAGTTTCCCCTCCGTAACACATAGTAAGATTCAAGAATATTTTTCTGGAAGGACAGAGTTACAGTGATAAAATAAACATCTCCTCTGATTCTAATATACTTCATATTTGTTTGTTCTTTGATAGCATTCAAGAGGGATCTGTTTAGTTGACAAATTTGTAATAAACTTTAAATGGAAAAAAATACTCAGAAAAGTCACAAGACTAATTATAAAAAAAAGGATGAAAATATGGCAAATATATACATACTTTAAGTAACTAAGTCTATCTTTTTTTAATGCATTCTTATATTTAGTGAAATCTTAATACATGGTTCAGTTCATTGGAAAAACAAAATTAGATGGAAGCAAATTATTTTCTAGAGGTTAGGAAAATTTTGGATTTGAGAAACCAGCATTAGATGATCTATTTTTGTCTCTGTCTCTGCAGTTTCTTCTTTTCACACTGATCAATTTAAAATAAACAAAATCTCTGTATCTTTCAGCCTTGCAACAGCAATTTCAATCAGTGTTTTTACTTGACTGGCACATAAGCCTCTGTTATCAAAAGCTGAATTGAGGAAAACAAGATGTATTTTCTAAGCTGGTAATTATCAGCATGAGTGTGACTCCTACATTTGTTGAATTTCAATCTGTCTACCTAGAGGTAAAAGCTTTATGCAGCACTACTCATTCCTTCAACTCAGTTAACATTCTTAAACCTAAACAATTCATTGTTTTCGTCACAGAACCTTGGAGCCACCAGTATAACTTGGTACTCAATTTCTGACTCAACAAGCAAGGAAAAAGCTTTACTTACATAAGCCCACTCTTAAGAATTCAATTAAGAATTCTTTGTTTTATTGCACAATGCTTGATTCACTCTCTGCCTGCACCGTTGAACTGTGCTAGTCCCCAGTAAAGCACAAAAATTCCAGAGTCAATCTTAATCCTCTTTCATGAGGATGAGTCATCAAATTAAATTTCATTATGGGGTGTCCCTTAGGCCATTGAGACAAAAAAGACTAGGTGCAGGCTAAACTGAAGTGCATAACTTGTTTGAATATACAGCAGCAATGAGTCAGAGGAGGAGATCCCTTCTTCAAACTCTACTGCTGATTTGGGGTCATTCTATTTTAACACCTGTGAAATAGAATCTACCCATGTGAAGAAGTGACACTATCTATAAATGTGCAACCAGACAGGTCAAATACACAACTAGGCATGTTTCCATTTCTGTTGCTTTTTCTTCTTTTGTGCTTCAATTATTAAACTTTGCACTTCTGGATCAATTATCATAAAAGGAGAAGTTGTCAGAGAGCAGAAGAAAGAACTTAGTATGATAGAACTTGTACTGACCTATAAAGGGAAATAATAGTGACATAAGGCAACAAAATCCAAGCAAGTTGCAACTGGGGCAAAAAGCTATTAAGTAAATACGTAATGATCAAGTTTAATAAGTGTTTTTCTTTCAGTAGATGAATGAGGGGATAGAGGTTCAGCAATGCTGCCAACAACAGCATTGAGGAATGCACGCTGTACAATGTACACCGGGTTTCAAATTTGGAGATGACATTAGGGTCAGAAAAAACAAAACAGTTTTATCATAGTTGCAGAAACAGGGTAAGAAAACTCAGTCGACAAAGCATGAGAGATCAAGTACAGGATTTCTGCCTGTACTTGTCCTGACTCTCTGGTTGCTAAAAAGAAACTTATTTTTCTGCTTTCTGAATTTCTATCCTTAGTTGCATCATATGTTTCATATAAACACATAAAGTCTTGTCTTGCTTTTTTTTTTTTTTTCCTAATCTTCCTTCATTCTCTTCCTAAAACTTCATCTACTTAATGTAGATCAACCATATTTCCAGGAGAGAAAACATGCCATGTTTATGGTTTGAAACAATGCCAGGTTTATAGTTTATACCTTAGTAATTCTTGCTAGAGTGTACTATATAAATAATTTCTAAAGTTAGAAAAACTGCAAAGTAATATCATGTTTAAAATATAAACATCTATCTATTTACTAGGAAAAATTAGAGATAGAAGCAAACAAGATACGAAATCTGTATTTTTCAGGTTAAGTCTGTGGTATGTGCAGACCCCACAGCAAATTTCTGAGAAACCACTAAACATCAAACTTACTTGTGTTGATAAGAAATTGGTTTGAAACCCCAGGATGATCTACATCATGTATTGCACTGGCAAAAATTGCTGCAAGAATCTCCAAATCAGTGAATACTGCCTAGAATATAATGAAACAGAATTAACAATCACCAAACAGTGAAGAAGTGCTTTCAATAAAAAGGATTCTAATTTAATCTGGATGTAAGCAAGCAAAACACTTTTAAAATATACCCTGATTTCTAGAGAGTTTACACACAAGCCATCAAACCCTTTGTAAAATCATCAATTATGTAGAATTCCATAAATATTTAAAGGTTGGCCAAAGTAAAGTGATTTGTACTTCGTACAGAGAGCATCACTAAATTCTACCACAACTGAAATATTTTCAGCTTCAGTCTGTCAATAAATCCACCTTTATTAGGCAATTAAGTACAGGTTTCTAACTTCTAGCACAAATTAAAGTTAATATTTCAGCCTGACTCCTCTGTATCATTCTGTACTTGAAAGATGCACACCTCCTATATAAAGGAAATAGGGACAGACTACACATCATCTCACTTAGCATTTACTGATTTTCCATTTGTATGGGATTATTAGGAAGACAGGAAAAGAGGAAAGCAATGGACTTGGGATGCCACTGAGCCCAGTGCCCTGTAGTCAGAAGCACCCACATGATGCAAATGCTTTCAAAATCGATCAAGGTCAGCTCAGAAGTGCAAAGACCAGCAGCGGCACTGGGCAGATATTGCCATTTTACCAGCTAAAGCTCTGCTGAGAAGAAGGCCATGAAAAAAAAACAATTGGAAAACACCCCAAAACTTAACTGATGACTAGTTCAGCTATGTGGTGAAGCCAGTGGTGTTTTAAGAAAATTATCTGATCCTTCTTCTTGAAAGCAGGAAAATCTTTTTTAAGAGATTTCCAAATCTTTGAGGATCCAAACCTGCCAATAGTCTCAAGGTCCACTTATAGCCCTCTCTCTAAGAAGAAGGTAAAAACAGATGTATTCACATAGTAACATGAAATACTGATCATTACAGAAGAGTCAAAATGCAGCCTTTCTGTAAAATGAAGGTAAATCCTTTTGAACTAATACAATTTCTACTGCTTCCTTTACCTGAATTTTTCTAATATTTTGCTGGGATATATCAAGATCAATGTTTGCTATGTTAAGACCTGAACTGTGCTTAAAAAGGGAAAAATATTCATCTTTCACATCCTTCTGCTTCAGAGATTTAAGAACTTTCAAGATGAGAATTGCTACAAAAAGAAGAGATTAATTTTTTTACCAAAAAAAATTGAAATATTTGATAGCCCACTGAAAATTTAGTACATGTTCCAATCTGTCTTAGAAATAAACACAGAAGTAGTATTTCCATATCAAAATAAACTTTCCAAAGAAATTCCCCTTACTGTGGTTAGGTAGAGTTCCACATGGGGAAACAACTACAGAATAGGATGTTGCATAAATAATAAGAGTTTACACAAAAAGAAACAAGATATGGATTGTGTTACAGTGAAAAAAGGTTATGAGAGCAAGAATTTCCATTATTTAAAATGAAATTATTTGATGTTTTCTGCACAATATTTACATGTAACTTTGATCCTCACAAAATACCTTTACAAGAACAGAATTCATTAAAAAAATGCTAAGATTTATTTTAAAAATATTGCAGAAATTAAGATATTTAATATTTAGTTTAGGAGACTCTCAGCGCATCTCCTTCTCTCATGACTGCCACTTTTCTTCTTCAGTGTAGTTTACCTCTAATGCTGGGGTTGATAGTAGGACATGTGTTGACTGAACAACATCTGCAGCATGTATGTTATTGTGGTATGCTACATCTGCATGGTAATGGTCTTCCAGGGTCATCAAGTAAGTTATTAAAGTATCTACTGGAATCTTAAAAGTTTTTAACAAGTCCCGTTCCTACAAAAGTAAAGGAAAAACAATTAGATTTCAAAGCACAGAACAGTCTCCAAGATAAGAAAAAAGCAGCATGACTGCTCGTACTTGCCTGAAAAATAGTGTGCATGATGACTGTCAGAGGTCTGTTTCCAGATAACTCTGCTACTCTGAAAACCTGAAGGCCCCACTTATTCAAATCTTCAAGTTCCTACAGTAAAATCAAGCAATGAACCAGCTGAAACCTAACACAAAAATTCCTGCATTTTTTGAGAGAAGCAATTATAAACAAAGGACTCATTAAGACCTGGCCACTGTGCAAGTGACATGCTGAATTTTGCAAGGGCTAAACTCTGAACTCTACAGATGCTACTAATCTTACAATATCAAAATTTACATCTACCCATTTTTCAGATTTTATTTGTCTAAGCAGGAAAGACTGTCTCTAAAGTGGATTGCTCCAGAGGGGAAAAACTCTACAGTATCTTGAATGAGTTTAACTGACACACTGTTACCTCACTGTCCATTGACAAGGAAGTTCAATGAGGAGAAAACCTCCAGAGATGCAGCAATTCTGCTGCTCTCTCCCTGGTTCTAAGAAACACTCTTCAAAAAAGATTCATGAAAATGTTAGGAGAGGCATAATTCAATCAAAAGTCCCTTTATACCAAGTTATTACCAAGTAGTTAGCTGCTGATGCAAAAAATAATAAGAAATTTGATTAAAAAATAAGACAAGGAATGCACATAAAATGATACAGCTGAAACTAGGAAGGGTAGTTCTAATGCTATATACCCTTGTGCATTTAAACAAAAATAAATTTGCTATCTATACATTTTCATTCCTGTGATGTTATACAGTATGTTTACCCTTCAATCTTCAGATACTATTTATGAATAGGAAACTTTCTTTATGGATACACAAATGTTAATTTAAATTCCATCTTCAGATGAAATTGTCTTCATGCTGAAATTAACCCTTATGGTCTGATTCTGATTTTACTTGCTATTCTTTCACTGCAAGAAATTTGGATTATTTCAAGTGGTATAAAAGCTTGGTGCTGCAGCTTAAAATCAATGTGTATAAATAGAGAACAATAACCAGAACAATACTGAAAAGTCCATACTCTGTTTATATAATTTCAAGGACATATATATATATTTTCTACCTTGGCAAGGACATCTTCTTGGTCTGTTTTAACTCCAAACCTGGGAATACTGGAATTAGTTAGGCTGGAGCTGTGCATGAGTTTTTTGACTCCACTGATCTGGGACATTGGCCTCTTCTTTTTCTCTTTCTCTTTCTGTGTTGGAGAAGGGATTTCAACTTCATGTTGCTTGTCTTCAAAAGAATAAATAAAAAGAGAATAATTTATAAAACAATTATAAATATTATAAAATTCACTGCTGAGTTGCACCTTTTGGACTTTCTAATTATTAGAAAAACCTCTTTTAAGATTTTGCAATAGATTCTCTCTGTCAAGGTCACTAAACCCATGAAAAGTTAAATATAGACCTATATTTCAGTAAAAGCAGATCTCTTTTACTCAAATAACCTCGTTATTTCTGAATTGGCTTTAAATGCAGCTTGTGACTGTCTGATTACCACTTCTGCCATATCCCTAGTGCTGTAGAAAGGGTCAATCATCTCAGTATAAAAATGTTATTACAACTGCATAACAATCCACTTTGTATTTCAAAGCTGTCTATGTGTGTCCTCATGTAAACCTTTAGAAAACTTTTTCAGGACTCGAAGACTCAAAGAATTTAATACTTGTGGATTGGTCCTGTCCACTAAGACTGTACAACTTGGAAAGCCTTTTGTGCTTTCCAAGCCACATCTAAAAGCACTTTGGATTGCTGGCAGTTCATACCACCAATGTAGTCTTTCTGCAATTCCCAACTAGAGTCAATAGTAATGACAAAATGAGAGAGTGCTTTGTTAACCGCTGAATTTTGCTGTTGGTTTTTGCCAGCAGTATCAGCAGAATCACTTAATAAAAATTAATCAACACATGTGCCAGCAAACTTTAGACAAGAATTAAACTGAGAGTAAAATATATTTAGGCAACTGCCATAGGATTGCTCCAGAATCAATATGGGGTTGTGGAGCACTGCAAACATCTGCTCCAAAGAAACCCAAGTCAGTGCAATGAAGGGCTTTTCTGAAAAAAACTACTAGGAACATGGATTGTTTGTTGTTTCTTTTATTCATGCTGTATTTCAACCTAGAGTTTAATGACTCCCTTCAAATTACCTCTTTTACTGAAATATACCTCCACATTTTCTAGACCTCAAGGAATATACCAGTAAAACTACAAAAATCCAGAAAAGATGTTTCTGACACAGGAGATGAGCCAAAACAGCTAAAAAAATACTTAAATCTAAATAAAATTTGAAAAGAAAATAAGAAAAATTTGGATTTTTACATGTGTATTTTTTCTCTTTCTGCAGTATTTATTTCCAATACAGACCTTGAAACACAATGAGGTTAGCAAGTCCATTTCTAATTATGAGCTCATTGTGTATTTGCTTTTTCACTTTCTTTTCTCCTTTTTTTTTATTTTTTTTAAATTACCTTTTAGCAGATACATTTAATGGACACCTTAAATTCCAAACAAATCACAATGAAGAGACTTTGGAAATGTCACCAGGTTGTAGCCTGCAGCACTGAGTCCCTGTATTACCCCATCATACTTCACTACTCTCCTAGTAAGGAGAAAAAGGGGAGGCGGAGTGTGGCAGCCCTTGTCTGGTGCAAACTGACAACAGATGAGGAGTTGTGACTTGTGCTTGTGCTTTGATGTTTATGGTTTCAGTCATGTGCACAAAGTTTAGACCCAACAAACAGAGGTTCATTAGCTGAGCTGTCAGAGTAACTCAAGTGAAAGGAAATGTCTGTCTGAATGACTTCAGATCTCCAGAGAAACTCTGTGGGACTGTTTCTGCTTTTGCAACTCTGAGCAAATAGGGCTGTGCCCATGTGAACATCCAAAAAAGACCGCTTGCCATTTTAACCCTGCTTATGCTATGCTCAATTAGAGTTTTTCAAACATTTTCCATTCATAGAAAACAGGTTAATGATGCTGAAAAAAGGAAAACTTGCATATTATTATACACAATGTAGGAGCCTTATGTCTCATACACAGATTATATTTCTTATCATTGTAAATAACTTCAAACATTCATATGGCCCTAAAGGAAAACTGTTAGGTTTTGGTTTGGGTTTGTTTGTTTAATAAGAAGAACAGAAAACCCTGTATTCTCATGACACTTTCCTAACTTAAAAGTGTGAGAAAGTTTGTAGACATTGAGGAGGTAAGTTATTAGATAATAAACTTATTAAATACTTCTAGGGAGAGAAAGTTTTCTCTTTGCATAGATGTTCAGAACCTATACACTTAGACTGCATATTTTGAAAATATTGAAGCAATGCATCTGTAGATGAGGTGTCTTCACTATTGTGCTGCTCTTATACCTACACTTCTATGTATCTAGTTTTTATGCAGACAGAAAACAGTACCCATGGTCCAGTAAATTAGAAGTGATTGCCTTTCCAGCCCTGTTTCCGCTAATGACTGAGATCTCATGCAAAAGGCTGATGGATGCATTTCTTTACTCTGTCAAAGTAAGTCTTAAGCTTTCAAGTGAAAGCAAGCAGAAGCTGGCATCTCAATATCCACAGCCTAAGTGGGTCATCCCTTCAGCCAACTGCACATCGTGGTTTTCAGGGCATCTGAAGCTGGGCAGTATTGCTTGTCCATGACAGAAGCTTATTCCTCTCCCTCTGTGTGAAGCCCTGCTGTGCTGCAGCAGTTGGCACACTGCTGCAACCTGAGCAGACACATCCAGCCATCCATTTTGGATGGGATGACAGGACAAAAGGTCACAGAAACCCCACTTTCAAAAAAGCCACAAAAAGCACCAGCTATGGCATCTCACACAGCATAAGATCGATATTAACATGTATGACTGTCACTTTTTAAAGTACTTGTTATCCTAATTTAAATGTATTTGACTGTGTCTCTCTTATTACACTGTCTTTATGAACTAGTGGTATTTTGTTCAAAACAGCTTTTGAGATGGGTATAGTATCTTTATCTTCATGTTCAAAATCAGCAATATGGAAGTTTTCTTGATTTTCACAAATATTAAGAAGAAAAAAGAGCCATGGTTAAGGAACCATATTCTTTGTAATATTGTGTTGGGCTTTTGTTAATGCTCACATCCCAGCATGCCAAGATCTTGAGCTGCAAAAAACTTTCTGGAAAAAGTCTATTCAGATGTTTATTTAGTCACATGCACCTAACTGTGCATATCTTAACTGCTTGCTGTGAGATTTTATGAGGTTACATGTGCTTATGTGCTTCCAGCACACTGTACCCTCTGCAACAATTCCAGTGGAAAATATAGTGGTAACATTTTATTTTATATATATATATATATATAATAATATATTTATATATATATATATATATATATATTTGAGCCCTGTATGAGACATTCATTCTTAGAGTTGAGCTTGATGATCCTTGTGAGTTCCTTCCAACTCAGAAGGATATTCTATGGATCTCTGTGATTCTCCATAATTCATTATATTAATTATCTTAATACGGTGTAAATATAATAGTTGTAATAAGTATATGGATATTTATCTGCAATTACACACACAGGAAAATCACCTACACAAATTAATTGAGCTGTGAAGAAGTGGATCTAACCTGATTTCTCTGCACAAATGCTGACAACAATATGCTAAATGCACAGTTTCTCAAAGCAGAAATTAATATGGAAAGCCACTTGTTTTTAGGTTCTAACACAGCCCAGAGAGATCTAAAAACCCCCCAAAGGCAAAAAAGTTAGCTCTTCATAGTCTTACCTAAGAAAGTATTTGATATATATTCTGACACCTGATTGCCTGACCTGCTCATTTCAGAGAGGTGGGTTAGCTCACGGTTGAGCATTCTTTTAAACTGAAAAGAAAACAAAAAAGTGTAAAGTTAGCAACATCAAGACATATTTTAGTTAGAATAAGAAAATGCAGTCTCTTTATAACTGGAGAAAGAACATGGCATTAAGAATATATACTAAATTAAGACAACTATGAAAGCAGAAATCACATGTACCAATGATCTATCCAACCAACCTATTAATGGATTGGACAATGTCATTCTTAACCTCCTAAAATACACCACAGTGATTCAATGACTAAGGTACAGTGTCCTACTAGTAACTGAAAACTCTACGGCATTTGCACACACACAAGTTATAATACTGTCTTTCCAGTTTTTTGATTTTAATTTGGAAGTAAATATAAATGTATATATATATAAATATATATATATAAATATATATATATAAATATATATATATATATATATATATCAGCGTTGTTCTCATAATATTTGCAAATTAATCTATTTTTGCATTTTTTGCAATTCATTACGTAACATCTCAAGTCTATCTTACCTCTCATAGTTAAGCTACTCAAAATTACTCTACAATGTTGCTCCAAATAATCCAAATATCTTATTGATTTCATATTAGCCAATGGGAAAAGAGCTAGGTTTTGTTGTCTCCAACCTAAAATTTTTATATTCAATGACTGACTCGACCATTCCACTATCTCAGAAAAACTGCAACCATCTCCAAAAAACATTGGGGTAGAAAATACCCATCTGGGGAAACACCTTCTATTTCCCCCTTAGTTAGCAATTCACTCCAGACAGTCTATAGGATAGAAGCAGATACTAATATTCCATTAAATGTATAATTAATTAGGTACACATCACTGCGCCTTTCTTCTAGAGTTCTTCTAGACTCCAGGGTGAAATGATATCCTGTGGTATTATGCTTGACAGGTTAATTGCATAATATAACTCTCACTGTCTTAGATGCATTTTCATTGACTATAGCTCTGCCTTGATATTATCAACAAACAGAAAGCAGCAATACTTACTAATAATTCAAACTCTTGCCAATGAAAATCAGCATGCATCAGTCACTATTGAATTTGCCTCCTATTGTGCCATCCTTTTATTTTGTTGTTAGATTTCTCAGTCTTTTCTCTTAACAAAGCAAAATTATTTGTGACACTTTCAGAATCACCATTTACCTTCTTCATGCAGTCATGACTATCCATTATATCAAGGAATAGCTACCCTTAGAGTATATACATGTAAACATTCCTCTATATTGAAAACTGGTAATTTATAGTTTATTCTTCTTCAAAGGAAATAAACCACTATAGTAAATATTAACCATCCCATTTCCATTCCACTGGAATCATCAAAGCTATTTCTTCAAAGTAGTCTTGCATAGTGAAAGTTGCTATTTTCTTCACAATATCTTTGTAAGCCACCAATTACCATATTGCTCACAATGTGACCAACAAAATTACCTTTAATAAAACCATTAGCCACTGCATTTTCCTGCCATCTTGATGTGTCATCAGCTCAGGAAGTTCCAGAGCTACAAAGACTGAATCCTACTTTAGTCACAAGCCAAAGGCTCAGCTTTGATCTCAGATAGAGCCATGTGCTACAAAGTGCTCAACACATGTCTGAAATTAGAACCATACTGCAAACACAGCTACACATACTATGAGAACTACAGAGCTATGCATTCCAGACAAAACCAGTCTTTATGTCTTCAGCAATGTCTAGTGTTTGTCACCAATGTCAAATTCTGAAAAATCAAGCCAAGTTTACTAAGCAATATAATGACTAGTCCAAAAATACCAAGACTTTTTTTTTAAGTCTGTCTTTAAACTTTTAAACACTTTACACACTTAAGTCATGCCTACACACTTTTTCTTCTCTTCCCACAAAAGGTGAGAAACTGTAATATATAAGACAAAAAATGAAGATGTCATGGAATAATTTGTCTCCAAATGGCATCCAGAGACTGCAGCTTCAAATTAAATACTGAGTATGGGATAGTAATAAAATGCCAGGAGTTGACAAAACCACATTAACTTCCAGGTATGTCATCAGTTTATCCATTAGTACTTCAATATTCTCTCTTCCTTAATTTAATTAGTTAGCTCACTGGATCCTAACTTCAATAGATCCTCATCTGCCTGGTTGTTTAATAGTAAACACTTCTACATAATGCCCAACTTGGTGTTGCTGTTTTTGCTGCAGAAAAACACTAATTGTGTCATGTTCCACACTCTGGAAAAAAAAGACCATCTAGCTACCACTGGCATGTACTCTTCAGGATGTCTTCTTAAAAGTTTTCCATCTTTGAAAGAGGAACAAATCAGTATTTGCACAGGAAATAGGAAGGATTTTTTGTTTTTTCCCAAATAATACATTTACCTGCAGGGGTGGGTAGAGAGGTTTGTATTTGCATACTGGGAATCATCTTATGGAACTTACGGAGCATATATTCTCTAAGAATTTTCAGCTCAGTATTTGTAGTATGAATATCCACAGCAAATGGAAAGTACATAACATTCTTTCTTAGTGCTATGTTCCCCACTAGGTCTGATGGAAACCCTCATCTTCCCACTTCCCATCACCCCACAAGTCAGCAGAACATGAAAACAACCATCTGCATGAGAGCTGCAGAATAGTCTGTGTTACTGCTGAACAAGGGTGTAAAGTGAAACAAGTCCCTCAGCCTCTGCAAGGCGCTCCTGCTGAGAGCAAATTCAATAGGAGATGCCTTTGTCTTTGAAGAACTGTAGCTGCACAATTTCCTCATACTCTTTCAGATGTTGCTGACGCCACAGGACCAAGACTTTAATTGACATGAAAACTTCTGGACTAAGCAGGAGTTTAGAGAACTGTTTTGATTTTTCTAATAATCTGACAAGGCCTTATAACCATCATTGCCATTGAATCAGATGAAGCTGAAGACCATATGCAGAAAGCAGTTGCAGGTGCAAAACAATAATGCTATATGAGAATATTAAAAAAAATCAAACATGAGAGACAAACAGCAATCAAGATATTCAAATATTTTTTTGTTTATACTCTGTTTCACTGTATCTGTACATTGCTCAGTCCGCTTACATTTCATAACTTGCCTTTTGAGGAAAAAAAACCCTTTTCTAACAAAAAAGCAATTCAAACAGCAAAACCAAATTTAACACTATTATTTTTCCCAATTTTACCTACTTCTCAAGATTTAATTTGGGCCCAAGCGCACCCATGCATAGTAACTGTTTCAAAGATCCATGTCTTACACAGCTCTGCACAATTACTTTATAATGAAATTTTGCCTCTCACATGGTTCCCACAAGTTCTTATTGCCAGCCAGAGAAGTTGGTTACATCTGTGAGCCAACACTGTTTTGTTTATCCAAGAAACACCCTTAAGTGCTTGAAACTTAGCTAGAATCAACAATCTCATACTGGAAATAACACATGGCATGTTATATTCAAAACAAGTGAAAGAGGACATAAAATCACCTTGTTCTTAACAACAGTAAATAATAAAGATGATATTTTGAATAAGAATTTTAAAAATCTGAATGTTATATACTTTTCAGATTCAAGAAAATAAATCATAAAGAACAAACCTATTTTTATTAATAAACATTTGAACCATACGATTTAATTATGATATTGTGAGCTCAGCATGGGGAGGAAGCAGAGGATTTTGGCTGATCTGTGCATATATTGTATTTTTTCTCAGAAAGAAAGATTTTCAGACATCCCACTAGGCATTGTTAAGTTGGAAAAATGACACATGCATCCCTTTGGAACATGACAATCCTTGACTATATCCTTAGAAAATCACCCTGAAAATGAGCTGGCAATAAAATGCCCATTAAGTCAATTATACAGTTCCTCACTGCCAAATACTGATGTCAGAGCAATGGAGCCATAAGATATTTTCTAAAACAAACCCTGAAAATATTTCCTTAAGCAGAATTTTTTAAATTTCATTTGCTTCTATTTATTTTCTATTTTAGTCTCAGCTGGGGTTAGGGGGATGGGGGAAATAAGAAGGAGCACAAATACAACAGAGCATTCCAATAACATTAAAAATGTCTCTAAAGTGAAAAGCGTAGATGTGAACCTTTATCTCCCTTTATAAACCTAAGAAGTCTGCTGTAGCAAAAACTGTACTACATGAGAATAAAGATACATACATTAATGATAATGAATTGAGAAAAATTTCCTAAATTGTTTTAAGTTCCCAAGAAGAGGTTTGTAGTTTAGGTCTTTCTGGGCTAAAGCCCAATGTATGCACATCTCTGTAGCTATATTACTGCTGTCAGCTAAAGATAAGCATACATGGGGGATTTTTTTTTAAAAATAAGATACTTTTCTGGTGCCAGAAAAGACACACAGTAAAACACAGACAAACTTTTGGATTAACCATGTTCCCAGATGGCAACAAGGGCATTGATAGATTTTTTGGAAAAATTTGAACATATGTTAGAAAGAATCACCAGCTCCAAGATCCAAATAGAGTTGATTCACAGCCACAAACAAGTTTGGACCACACACTTTATATATATACAGGTTATTGTTTACACTTTAGAAGATTTTACAAATTTTGTGTAAAGTTCTTGGTTCACTAACAAAGAGCTTAAGTAAAGAAGCAGCAAGCAGTTAGCTGTGTCAAGAGGAAGCACACAGAACCACTCTTGCTGTAGACTCCCTGCAGCAGCAGGGTCTCTTCCATGCAGGTTTTCTGTTTCTGTAGAGAAACCTGCTGCATCCCAGGGACTGTAAAGAGGCTGCCTACAACACAGCCTTTGGCACCAATACTGAAGGTGAAACTAGAGTTAGAAGGCAGTCCATGGACCAAAAAGTCCCACCTGGCCTCCACTTTGAGCATTTATCAAGTTCCAAGTCCAGTGGGTGCTGGAATAAAAATGCTCAAGAGTGACAGGGGATTCTCACAGCAATGGCTCCCAAACCCACCGGGCAAAGACCTGAGTTTCAGCCTTTGTGCCTGCCTCTTTTCTAGGTAACATTTCTAAAATCTTCCATGAAATAGAATATATCTATGGAACATGCTATTAATACTTGGAACATTCAACTTACATGAATATGTTTTGCTTCTGAAATATCTACCAATGTTATTTTTAAAATATACTTGTATCTCAAAATGAATAAACTATATTATATTACTAGATTTGAAAAGCTTATATTCTACAATGTAACAAGGAATTTTAAGTAAGTCAGACTTACAAATTAACATAAGGCTTCTGTCTGCACTGCTTATTGATGCAAATCTATCTTTGATTTTAGCAGCATTCTAGATATATAAACAGCATTCTTAATAGCTAAAGGTTTGTGTTGGAAGCCCATGGGTTTAATTAGTATCAAGGCCAGGCACTGTTTTTTGTAATAAGCTACAGAAAGGCAGATATCTCTAAGGCTGTCATTGTGATAGAGGTGCTCATTTTTTTCAGTAAAAGATACTCAAAAAACAGGGGTAAACATTTTCCAAAATAATAATTCATGGGAGATAAAGTACAGCCTGAAGCACACAGAAATAAGTGTATAATATGGGATAGAAACATATACAATGTTATATCTTATATTACAAACAATGAGAATAAGATACATTTTATAATATATATTGCAATCTCAGAATAAGATATTTCAATCTTCAGATTTTCATACATTCTCTACATACTTGTTTTGAATATCACAAAGAACAGCATGTTTTCGCTTCTTCTCATATTTTTTCTCTCAAAAATCACTGTAATAAAATTGTGCTCAAGGAAAACTTAGCTTATTAACTAAAATCATTGTCTGTAGACAGTATAGGTCACTCTTTATACAAAGAACATTTTTTCCCCATGTGTACTCAATTACACCTACCATCATATCTGCTAAACTTCAATTAGAAAAAAAAAGTCTGTGAATTCTAAAGGCTAAGCAGTAAGAGTGAACTTGATTTTTTTTTAATTGGATTGAATTTTTCTGATTTAGCAAGAGGAACATGACAGCAGTTGCCTAGAAATGCAGGAAATACTTTATAGTAAATTACAATAAATTACTTTTAGCTGAAATGCAAAGTAATTTCATCTTATCGCTTTGGCAAACAAGAAAGTAATCTACCTAACTAGCATAATGGGATAAATTTCTTTACAGATGACTGATCAAAATCCTGGGTAATACATCGTAACAATTCAGCATTACTGGAAAGTACTCATATTTGGACATAATCAGGCTTTGCACTTCTATTTTAAAAGACATATATTTATTGTAAAAGTAGGTATTAATAAAGGAAAGCATAAGAAATTCAATTGTGCAAATACAATGCTTGTGCTATTTTTAGTCATTTAATTCAACATATGCCTTAATTAGTTCAGGAGAAATCAGAGTTTCTTAAAAGCAGACCTATTTGGTACATTTATTGTATGTCAAGCATAGGACAGTTTTGTTTTACACACGATAACAATTATAAAAGTATAAAAGCAGCAGCATTTTTCTTAAGCACAAACATAATTTTTTAGGAATAAACCGAAGCTCAGATGTGTTTTTTTATTAAGTAGATTTCAGTTCTATGTGTTTACAGGCATACTGATTTAACTCCTTGATGCTAAACTTTTCCATAAAAGAGATAACGCTTGTTCCATTTTCTAGCAGTATTGCTATTTCAAGCTAGTTCACACTGCCCCTCGTAACAATATAGATCAGTATTAAAAGATGGCAATTTCCAGAGTTTTAATCAATAAGCTGTCACACTCACAGAGGCTACCAAAAATGCTGTTGAAACACAGTGTTCATAATTTCACCTTTCTTCAGCTATTAAAACCAGCATGAGTCATACATCCACCCATTATCCTCAGCTTCTTTACTCATGCTCTCTTCTATTGTATAGTATCTCTGTTTTAAGGTATTTGGAGTTTTTAAAAACATTTTAATGGCTAGAAATAAAATTTTTCTGATAGAACACAAAACTGTTCTGAATTTCTTTGGCTTTAGACTTGGTCTAATCATTCACTGAAGCAATATTATTTTAAAAGTCCCAGCACAATTTCTAAGAAAGACTATACTATGCAGTTCATTCTTCCTGCTGAGCAAAAGCTGGTTGTCTGATTTTTCACTTCAAATTAATCATAATCATAATTCACAAATCCTCACACAATCCAGTGATCATGCAATCATGCACCATAAATCAAAGTTCTTAAAAGGTAAAACAAAATCCTACCTTTATGTAGCCCCAAGAAACAGAGAGTAAATAGTTTGCCTCAGGCATTTTTGATTTTTTCTGTACTACCAATCTAAGCTATCAGTTCTTTGCTGTCTAACACTGCAAAATACTTCCAAGAATAAAGATTCTGTCTTCTCTCTCCTAATTCTTTTTGCTGGTCTTCAGGTTCTCAGCAGCTGTGTGCTCAGGAGGCATACTGAAATGAAATCCAACTGTGTGGTCTTCTGATTGTATAAATGCCATTTGTGAAACTCCAAGCATTCAGAGGTAACATTGAAGACACATATTGTACGAGCTGAAGAAATTTCTGAAGAGCTAGGGATATGCATATTTCCTGAACACCAGGATTTAATGAATAATGTATGTCAAGATGCTCAGCTGCTCAAAGACTTGCTCTATCAACAGCTACCAAATAAGGACCTGAAGAGGAAGCCACAGACAGAGGCAGTGATCCCTCCCATAGAGCCATACTAGCAACCAATAGTGTGTCACCGTAAAAGATATAAATCCGCAGGGCTGGTGTCATGATGTACAGTCATTTACCATTGGCTAATTCTGGGGACTCTCCTGGGCATGGGATATTGGGTTTTTTTTTTCCCTGATAGCAAATGCCCTTTCCTAATGGTATCCCTGCCCGCAGCATTCACATGTCATTCAAAAATAATTGGGCTAAAGCCTCGTCACTTCAGCAGTATTTACCAGTTTTCAATGGACACACCATCCAAGCAGTCAAAATCAGTATTGTGCTTACATCTGTCTGGATTGTTTAGTGGGTTTATTTTTTCATATGGAAAAAAATATATTTTCAGGTGTTTTTTTATGGGGAAGAAACCAAACATAAATAGATTAAGTTGTTTCTTGAATAGTTTATGATGTACCTTAATCAATGAAAATTTTCGGCTTTTATGCCACATACATTAAAAACTGATCTACTTCAGACTATTGGGCCAGGCTGCTAATGCTTTTTTATTTCAAGAGATAAATACAGTTACTATTAAACTAAAGCAAGTCACATATCTTACAATACCGAGTAAATGTTAATTCTATGGAGATGTAAGAAGTAAAATAATAAGAGTCCTCAAATTCTCACTGTATTTATTCAACTTTTGCTCTTTCTGCCTCAGCAGATTATTATAATCATTTACAGCTATACATCATTGAAAAAAAAGAAGGGATTAATTGAAAGTGGAGTGTGTCAGTGAGCTGACTCAAGCATTAAATAAAAGATCCCACCATCTGCCACTCAGAGACCAAAACTTGAAAGGGGGAATACATTATGCCCACAGCAGGGGGATTGGAACTAGATGATCTTTAAAGTCCTTTCCAACTCAAGCCATTCTATGGTTCTCTGATTATCTTGCTCCACTCTTTGCAAGGCACATGCACTACTGCAGCAAATTTCTGAGTCTTTGTTGTGTCAAAAGAAAGAGAGAGTGACCATGGGCAAATGTCTAAGGACAAGCTGAAGGAGGTACAGCAGTCAGCCTGGTCCCACACTGCTGATTCACTGGAAGATGCTGACTGAGACTGGTCATAAGAGAGGTTCTGGCTAAAGTAGTCAGCAACACTAAGTGCTTCAAAAAGAATTGAAGCTATACAGATCAATATGATATCAACAAATCTCTTCCTTACAGGAGAGAAACCTAGAGCAGTACGAAAACTGGATACAATCAACAGATCATCAGTACTTGAAGTATTTTCATGTGGAAGGCATACTGTTTGCCTTACAATAGATAATATTCTGACACATTTTAATATTCACAGTTATACTTGGGCTGAATCTATGAAGCTAAATGCATATAAAACAATTAAGTTTTGAAAACACACCTGGGTTACTAGGAAATCATCGAGACATTAAAGAAGTCAAAAGGTACTTGAGGAAAATATTTCTGCTGATTCTTACAGCTCAACTTCATAATGCTGAATATAAATCTTCTCTACATCTGTGTTTCATTGTCTTCCTATCATCCAAAAGAGAGCACTGCTGCCACCTACCCAGTACCAACACAGAGCTGGAAAAATGATGCCTTTCTTCAGGAGGCAATTTCAAGCATAACTTAGAAAATGGTAAAATAACATTTGGCTATTTTAGGAATTAAACATGTGTGTATGAAATTTTGGTTGCAATATGTTGTATGAGAAGACATGAAAAAGTCAAGTTTTAAATCTTCTTTCTTACTTTGCTACTAAAGACTGCTTCCTCATGAAATATTTACAACTCTTCCCAAAGAACTGTTCCCAAAAGAACTTGATTCAGATAAGAAATATTTAAAATGGCTGGTATGTAAATTTCACCAGCTGTTAAGCATGTAGTAAAAAATAATCAAATTTTTTTCCTTCCTCCCCACTAATATATGAGTCAAAGATACATCTATAAGAATTACTGGGTTACATTTGGTAGAATTTATTGAAGAATGGTGTTTATCAAGTTATTAGCTAGGTCATTTTGATATAAAAACATGAAAACTATTTTATTTATACATATTTATATATAACAAGTATACATTACATCAATTCATTATAGCTCTGTATTAACTATAGTGATAATTACAATTACAATTAGGCAATTACATCTGATGCAGACTGCCTATTACTGACTTGTATTATTTTTTCAAGACTCACAGTCTTAACCTCATAAAATAATGATTGCTGTAATAGAATTTAATTATATGACTGAATTAGAAAGCATGCCCCCTGACTTTGGCAACATGATCTTATATGAGGACACTCAGGAAATTCAAACCAGCTCTGATTTACAAGAATGGTTTTGGTTGATTTTCCTCCTGAATTGCCAGGCTACAATCACTGTATAGCTAGCTTTAAAGGAGGTTACGGTAGAAAGATGAGCGCATGGCAAATAGCTGCCACTAACTAAATGCCTAGAGGAATTCAAGATAAGAAAAACAAAATTTAGAGATTCTTGTTTTTTATACAAATATACATCCATTAAGATAAAACATGGGGGAAGGAAGGACATAATGACATTTTCTACAATTGTTCCAATCAATCAAAGTATATGGAAATGGGTAAGGTGTAATTTGAAATTATAGTAAATGAGTAATAAAATAATTCAGAAAAAAAAAAAAGGAAGTTTTTAATGAGCACTGTTGTGTTTTGAAAGAATTAAAACAATGACCTTGAAAGACTCAAAGATGATGAAGCCCCTTAACAGCCTTAGCAAATATTAGCTATTATTTAATCAATTAGTCTGGACAACCTCCAAAGAAGTCATAAAAGGACGTGGCAGAGATACCAGGAGCTGCAATGTTCAGTTTTAGCATACTTTTAAAGAATTTTAAAATGTTAATTTTTGCTAATTAAAATTTATAAGCAGGATGGATGGGTATGTTCAGACCATTTCATGAAACCCCAGTCCTGGATATAATGACAGAAGAGCTGATATAAACGTGTTCCATGTTTTTGCTTGATATAGAAGTGATACATAAAAGTGTAATTAATGCCAGTCAGTATCATTTATGTGTTTGAACATGTAATATTCTTGTACAGTCATAGAGCAATTAATTTATAAGTGTAAAATATTCTGCACCACTCCCAATGTTGAGAGAAGGCACATTGAGTGGGCTGAGAATCTGATTATAGACTCATTCCTAATGGTCATAAACAGGCTGTTTTCATCTAATGGGACTGTTTTAAGTAAGGTTTTCTATTACTTGAAACTGCTTTATGGTACTAAATTTCTTCACTGGTGATCTGCAATTACATCACTACCATGAAGATTTCCAGTGTAAAAATTTCCTGAGAACAGAAACAACTGGGAGGAGGAGTGGTTCATGGGATAAATTGTGAGGATGTGAAAGTCACCACCAGCAGCCTCACTTGTTTAGAATGTTGTCATCATTCATGTAAACCACACTTTAGGTAATTTAAGGGGAAAACTAAGTACAGTTCAGGGAATTTAATGTCTGCAAGGACACCCACCATCAAGAAGGTACACGGTTCACGACTAGGTAAACTACACTGAAGAAAGGAGGAGCCCTGTAGAGTATGTAAAGTCCCAACACGGCATTTCATAGTGATACTGTCACCTCTAAATAAAAAGAGAGGCTCTAAGCCTCTTATTCTGGCAACACACGTAATGGAACAGCACACACTGCTTTAGCGTATCTTTCCCTAATTTGTATTATGTGCATTGTGTAGGAAAAAATGCTTGCAAATATTATCAATGTGACAGAGAAAATCTTCTGTAATAAAAGAAAAAACTCATTCTATTTAACTTATAAGCCCACAGCTACTGTGGAGAATCATGAAAATAAGAAAACACAGCAGACGGGACCTAATTCTCTAGCACCAAGGAAGCAATAAGAAGCAATGGAAGGCAGTTGAAACTGCTTCAGTCCAACTGGGCTGAAATCAACACACACTACAAGATGACATAGGGAAGGTCAGTAGTACCCTGGGTGTAGTAGGAAGAATATTGCCAGCAGGTCACAGAGGGTGATCCTGCCCTGCTACTCAGCCCCTCACCTGGAGTGCTGTGTCCTCAGGACAAGAGAGACATGAGAGTCCTGGCAAAAGCCTGGAAGACGGAAGAAAAGATGATATGGGGGTTGGAGCATGTCTTTCACATTGAAAGGCTGAGGGAGCTGGGAATGTTCAGCTTTAAGAAGAAAAGACTGAGAGGGAACCTCATCAATGTATATAATATCTAAAGGGAGGATGTTAAAAGAATGGATCTGGCTCTTCTCAGTGGTGCCAAGCAATAGGAGACGAGGCAATGGGCAGAAACTGATGCACAGAAAGTTCCCCCTGAACATAAGGAACATATGTAGGTGACTGCGCTGGAACAGATTGCCAGAGAGGCTGTGCAGTCTCCCACACTGGACATATTCAAGCACCATCTGAACTCAATCCCATGCAGAGTGCTTCAGGATGGTTCTACAAGAAGGTGGGACCAGATGACCCACTGGGGTCAATTTCAACCTTTGGTTCTGTGATTCAGTTGCAGTACTTTTATGAACTGTCACATGGGGGACTTACCACCTTGGTCTTTCCTACTACAGATAAGTGATGGGTAATCCAAAATGTACTTAGCTTTGAGGGAAGAACAGTGCTTTCAAATGCAACCCCTTGGACTGACTATGAAATTGCACTAAGAACATTTTGAGAGATATATGAGCATCAATTTTGAATACAAGTGTGCTGGATGTAATGCATATTGTCTAGTAAGCAGCAAAAAGTAAAGTAAAGAAGTAGACATCTAAGCATATCACTAGTTTTAGTTCTCAAGGTGTATGCATTACAAACAAGAACAGATAGCATAAACAAATCCTATATGCCAAATGAAGAGCCTTTGAAAACATGAAAAAAACAAGGTTTGTGGCAGGTGGTTAGAACTAGATAATCTTTAAGGTCCCTTTCAACCCAAACATTTCTATGATTCTATGATTTTTAGACTGACTTTCACACATCAGAGAACAGCAATAATCACCCCTATCAAATCCAGCTCCTACTCGTCACAAACGCAGAACTGTTTTCACAGTGTTAGCCAGCTCCATCTGTGAGTTGTGCTGGTATGTACACCACCAGAAAGCTTCCCTACAGAATGAAGAGTCTACTCAGTGCTGGAAGACCACAGCAGAAAAGAATGGTCATTTCATCCAGCAAGCAAGAGCACATGGATGGACTCAGCCAAAACCCAGAGCTGGAACAAAGGAAGCAGCAGGACAGCCAGAGAAAAGAAAACTATGCTGAATCAACCAGCCTCACCAAAATTCTCTGGGTTCTACATAAGAACTCAGGCTAGGACAGAAACTGTAGGATTTTAAGTAAAAAGTCCTAAACAAACAATTAGTATTTTACAAATATGAGAAGTTGCTTCAACTGCAGTAACCAGCTGCCACACACTAAGTGAGGTGGGGGTACAGAGACAAAGCATGGGTCTTATGCTATACCAAAAAGAGATGAACTTCACTGGTGGCTGACAACTGATGACAGTAAGTGGAACACATCTCCAGTTCTTTTAAAGGAAGTTTTAATTGTGCTAACTGTAACATGATTATACAGTTTTAAAAAGGTTTTCTTGGAAGCCTTCTGCCTGTCAGAATTACATTTGTTGAAATTATGGAATAGCCTATGCAGTATCATTTTTCAGATCTTTTTATTTGGAATATATAATTCTTATTAATAAAATATGAGAATTTTATGTTGCTAAACCAACTGAGATGACAATGTTCTTCTGAACTATTTTAGGGGAAATATGTGTAGTAAAACCCAGGATCTAAGGTGTTTAATAAATAGTAAATTTCTCTTATTATTTTAGATTTAACAAAGAAAAAAAAAATACATTCTTATGCTGATAAGATACATAATTCAGCGTTTGTATTCAGTGCCCTCTAGTGATGATAAAAGCAGTAGCTATGAATATGTAGGAACATGAAGCTTTTTTCAGATCATAAATGTCACAACATGGTTAACTAATTTTCAACTATGCCAGAGCAGGGTCTTTACAGGTATTCTCTACAGCTGCAGCAT